GTTTATTTTAACAAAACAGTGATACATAATAAATTAGTTTACATTTGTATTGCATACTTTTTTTTAAAAGACTTAATATGTTTGTAACAAATAATGTACTTCAGTTGCCAGGTCAATGACTCCCATCTCGATCAGGTTTTTATCTAGTTTCCCTAATCCATTGAGCAAATGCTGAGATGGCCCCTTGTTTTCCTTCTGGGCGTAAATGTAGCTTCACTATGCGCACGTTTTGTTGAACTCTCCTTTTGCTTGTAATGTTAAGAGTAGAGGTAAGGGCGAGTGTGCTATTTTGTTAGCAATGCAGAAAAATCATACTTGCAATTCGTATACCGATGCAAATATATATTTTCTACAACTCAGAAACAAAAATGACTATTGTCCAAATATTGCTCATTTTGCAATTTTTAAAATTTATGTTTATAATTTATTTTTATTTATTTATGTTAAACTTTTACTCATCTTTCATCTATTTATAATTAAAATGACGGGAAGGGATTCTGGAAATCAAGAAAACGTGCGCAGATAACCTTTTCCCCTCTACGTCACATACAGTTTTTACTGTTTTTGACTGAATAAAGCTAAATCTATCGGCGGAGTTACTTCGAGCACCCCGAAAATTACGCTCAAATAGTCCTTTGGCCCATTCCTCTCCTCTCCTATAACTTATTTGCCAGTGATGCCCAGTAGGCACTTCCCTGGCTTGTACCATTGTTCTCGGCTTAATGACTCACATCCTGTACGCACAGAGAGATTGCACACAGATCTCACATACATTCCCGGATAGGGTCAATAGGTACTACGGGGTCTTCGAGCACATAATCATTTGGATACCCCTCCTGACAAAATATCGATGTTTATTAAGTAGTGGTGCTACAGAAGAGTACACACTTTTTCGTGCTAGTTAATTTCCTAATCTCTGCAGTCTGGGCTAGCTGTTTGTATTTTCTCTAACCTCATCCTAGCCGCTACCCATCGGCGCTTAAAATACTTTTTTCAAAATATATCATTTCTTTTGTCTCACTGTAGAATTAAAATTTTACTTTAAGAATATTATAAAAGTGAAACATGGTCCTTTACGAAAAAAATATTTATAAATTTGGAGCCTTTTAAAAAAATGTTTGAGTGTTTCTAAAAATGCGCAATATTGAGTTAATTTTCACGAAAAATTTTTGAGATGTCGAGGTACATCAGAAATAAATTGAGGCAACTGACCTACGTCAGGAAATAGAGTTAAGACGTTGAGAAGATTCTTTACTGTTCCTAGTTTCGTTCTCTGTTTAACTGAGTGCAAGGAATTTCAAGGGGCCAGAGTATCCGTGTCATTGTTGTGGTATGAAAAAGAAACCTGGCAAGTGCCCAGCGAAATTAAGTCCCTACGACAATTTCCCGTCCTATAACGTTCACCCAACCAAATACTTCGGGTATAGTTAACAGAGACCGACATCTGATGGGGAAGTGAGTCACACCCCAGCAGTTCAGGGGTCGGCTATGCGATGTGGCTGCTCGAAGGTACCCCTAGAACCGGGGATAAGTTTCAAAGGAAACCTTTATCGAATACATAGGTGCGGAACTACGGACAATGGATATCCCTCCGCTAAATAGCCCATGCCATAAATTAAATAAATGTTTTCAGATGAAATTTACTGTAAGGAAACCGATGTGTCACCGTTGGCCGCACCGGGCAAGGTCGCTCAGAACATCAACTGATATCACTGCAGCATCTCTGACCGTGATGACCTAGGTCTGCCGCCTTCGAATCCCGACAGCTAGACAACTAGGTCGAGTTCAGCCGCTGCTTGAAGGAGATTTCTAGCGGCATGTTGCTCTAGTCGGTATTTTTCCGTGAATTCTCGGATCAACATCAGACGAATGCCGGAGCAGTACTCTAAAAAACCGACCACGGACCACGCACGATCTTCCCTTTCCCTTTCTTGTACTATCCTCACCCGTTACTTACATCCCAACACTTACGTGCACTACACTATCTCGCTTATCGGAAGCTTAGAGCTGGGGCTGGTGGGATGTACATTGTTTGGGGAAATCCCTGCAAGCCGACAGGTAGGTTGGCACCCGATCTCGACTTCCAGCGAGGGGCAATCACGGCCATCTTATGCGATGAAAACATGCACTATACTTCCGGGACTAATGACCGTAGCAGTTGGCGCACCCGGAATCGCTAATCAATCCATCGATCAATGTATTGAGAAAAAATGTGATATTTACTATAAGGAAAATGTGTTGCTGTTGGCCGCAACGCAAAGTAGGAGTGTTAGGAGGTTAACGTTCGCGGCGGCAATTGTGTGACGGTTAGCGTACCGGGCTGTTATACCCAAGTTCGCGGTCGAAGCCGTGGATTTTTAAGGTCGAAAAAATCCTTCGTACGCCTTCCTTCGGAGGGGAAGTAAAGCCGGCTGTCCCATAGATTTACTTGCATGTAAAAGATCCTCAAGCCTAAATGACGAAGCCTCTGAGCTCTTCAAATCGCCTATTTCGTCGCCCACGAAATACCTCCTTTCTTCGCTGGATGGTGAAAGGAGCGTAGCGAAATTTGCGTGGTCAGACGGAAGAGCGGACCTGATAGCTCGAGTCTCACCACGTAAAATAAGGCATACATTCAATTCAACGCTGTCACGGGCGCTCTCTGTTCACAGATCGAGTCGACCAGCCAAGCGCCCACGCTGCCATGCAGTTGGTGTGCACGTGCAGCTTCGCCAGCGAAACAGCACAGCTTTACTCGCAAAAACCCGGAGCGTCGAAACCGTTCTCTTGTGCCTTGTGCGGTAACCGTTCGAGAGAAACTTCACCACATCACACCACAACGCGGTTAAACGTCCCGGCGAATTTCGGCATTCGGGCACGGGGTCGCGTCAGTGACAAACCGTACAAATGTTCCCTTTGCCAGAAGGCCTTCCGGAAACCGGGATACTTGAGATTACACACGAAGAAACACGATAACGAAACACCCGTCGAATGCAGTGTGTGCCAGAAGATCTTCCGAAAACCGCACGTGCTAGTCAAGCACATGCGGGTCCACACGGGCGAAAAACCTGTCGAATGCGACGTGTGCGGGAGGAACTTCGGAGAAAAGCGTTTCCTCGTTAGTCACATGCGGACACACACTGGCGATAAACCCTACGAATGCAGAATCTGCAGAGAGAAATTCGCAGATCGAGGTACTTTGGTGAGACACGTTAGAACCCACACCGGGGAGAAACCCTTCGAGTGCCCCACGTGCGGGAAGACCTTCGCTCAGAAGACGACACTCGACCACCACATTCGGACCCACACGGGCGAAAAACCCTTCGAGTGCTCCGTCTGCCGGAAGAGGTTCACGAAAAGCGAAAACATGAACAGTCACATGCGCATCCACACGGGCGAAAGACCCTTCGAGTGTTCGAGCTGTCAGCGCACGTTCACGAAGCGGGAGTACATGGTTAGCCACATGAAGGTGCACACGGGCGTCAAACCGTACGAATGTTCCGTGTGCAGACAGACGTTCGCGCGGAAGGAAAATTTGAACGGCCACATGCGAATCCACGACGGCTACAAGCCCTACGCGTGCTCCGTGTGCGGGAAGCGTTTCACGGAGCGGGGAACTGTAACGGTGCATATGAGGACCCACACGGGCGAAAAACCCTTCGAGTGTACTGTTTGCTCGAAGAGGTTTTCCCAGAGGGGAAATCTGGGTTCACACATGCAAACACACGCTCGCGACCAATCGAAACGGCAGAAGATCGCGAAGAAAATAGTCAACCAAAAACCTTCGGACTCTCCTTCCAATGTGGAGTCTACGTGATCTAAACATTCGTGGACTTTCTTCCGCGTTTGACTCTTCGTTAAATTCCTTTCTTTCGAAAATATCGAAGCTGATATTTTACATTGTGAAAACATCAAATTCTACATAACCGGTGGTGGATGGTGGTACAATTCGTGAAAGGTTGCAGTTATGACCCGTAAAATTGGTTTTTTGAAATGAGAATCGAAATCAACTACAGATGTGATGACTGGTCGGAATGCGGTTTGCTGGCGAACTGCAAACACGATTCCCTTCAACACGCCTAGAGATGCTGATAAAACTTAAAATCTTTCAGTTCAGAACGGATACCTAACCATCAAATAATTGTGTATGCATTACAGCAATAAAATAAAAGCATCAGTATTTACAAATAAAGATTTAGTATTAACTGCGTTGCTGTGGGCGTCGCGTGTACTTCCAGCTCTGTGCCTTTCCTGGGAAGCAAACGTTGAGTAAACTCACAGGCGTGAGCCTTTCATAGAATGCTAACATGATCTGTGTGTTTATTTGCAGAGCTAGTCACAAATGTTCGTTCTTTGCGGCGATCCTGCACACATACTCTGAAAGATTGTTACGTCTGTTACATTGCTATTGATATACAGTGTCTCTATAGTTTTGTGCAGACTCGTGTGTATGATAGAGTCTGCGTTGTTGCCAACGTTTCGGCAGCTATACTGCGATTTTTTGGGCGAAATGCATCTCTTGTCATTGCATAAGACGTATTCTGATCTGGAGAAGGTTGGAATTACAAAAAAATAAAATCCATCTGTTGCACAATATCCACGTCACATCGGGATTACTGCCGGGGTTATCTGAGAATCTGAATTGCCTTTGTCTCTGCAGCGACTCTGCCCGGGAGGACCAAGGGATCGACTCCAGGTGGTGTACTATGCGCACACGTTTTTTTATCTTTCAGCTCCTAAGTTGTCGGCACGGCACGGCCCGGTAGGAAATATGAGCCCTACTCGGAACGTCACGGCTTAGTTTGCAGTGGTGCCCACCTTCTTCCTTTCCAATGCAGGCTTCCTATTTTTCCGGTCTCTTTTTCTATGGATCTGTGCGTTCCATGTTTCTTATTATTAGTCAATAATTTCTATAACTATTATTTCTTCAGATTTTTTAAAAATCTTGCGTTGCTTCGTATTGCTATGTAGACCAAGACGCGGCATTACAGTGAGTTTTCTGTCGATGAAGTTGACAAGGAGTTTGCCCTGCCTGAACAGAACCCTCCTCTCCTCGCGCACACACCCCCGCCGTGGACTATCAAGAAAACATCAGGGTATAGTATTTTGGACACTAGTTAAATTTAACTGCTGTCTAGGGGAGAATTCTAGTGGGCGACTGCTTTGATCGATAGTTCTCCGTGTTACTCCTATCCGTACCAGACACAAGTTGGAGCAGTGCCTTAAAAAATGGGCCATGGACCATGCGCGATCTTTCTTTAGATCTTTATGTACTCAAAAAAAAAACAACAACAATAAAAACTGTATTTGGTGTATGGCGGAGAACATCTGCGCACGTTTTGTTGAGTTCCAGAATACCTTCCCATCATTTTAACTATAAGTAGTTAAAATATGAGTAAAAGTTCAAGATAAATTAATAAATAAAAATAACATTTAAGAAAGTGCGAGATTAGCGATATTTGAAAAAACCAGACATTTTCGTTCCCGAGTTATAGAAAACTTTTTTTTTGTTCTTTCTTCATGACTTCTCTCTCCGCTGGGGATGCGACATCGATGTAGGTGTTTTCAAAACATGTTTTATACGTCGATGTATTAACATCGATGTTTTTTGACATTGATGTTTTGTGATCGATGTTTTTCTTTTACCATGTTTTGTTTCTTAATGAAAAATTCCCACAATTACAATACTGTAAAAGTTAAGATATTAAATAATAACTGATAATATCACTGTTATTCATGTGTTGGAACGCTGTTTGAACTACCTTCATCGACCAGACTCTCTGAGATGACCTCCATGCCCTTGTATTTCCTCTTTCTTCATATTAATTTCGCAT